CACTCACTCACTCACTCACTCACTCACTCACTCACTCACTCACTCACTCACTCACACGCACAGATACCCCCCTCCCCACACACAGAACATTTATAGCTGTCCACTCCCAGCTCTGTGCACGTGCGTGTGTCGTGTAGAGCCAGCCCCGTCAGGCCGGGTGTGAGCGGGCGGGTAATTGTGCCGTTTATGAATTAAACAAACATTATTCTTGTGAGGGGAACCTCTCGTCTCTCATAATTTTACACCACACGGACGGACGCTTCATTTGCAATTCGATCACTGTTGCTGGGTTTTTTTTTCTTTTAAAATTTTGTGTAAAATTTGTTTGATGTTGTTTTTAGTTTTGTTTATGTTGATTTTGTTTTTGTTTTTAAAAAAGTCAGCAAACAAACGATTAATAAGAATTCAAATTGGAACGAATGGTGTGTGGGTGTTGTGGGTGCTCTGCTCCTTGTATCTGTTGAGTGCCATTGCTGTTTTAATGTGAGGGTCACATCGGTAGTTTTTGTTTGTTTGTTTGTTATTTTATCGTGCTGGATGTGATAGTGTCACTGATAGCGTACATCTGTCAGTGCTGTTGTCTTAATGTGAGGGTCACACCGGGAGTTGTTTTTGTTTGTTTGTTTGTTGTTTTATCGTGCAGGGTGTGATAGCGTCAGTGATAGCGTCAGTGATAGCGTACATCTGTCAGTGCTGTTGTCTTAATGTGAGTGTCACACCGGGAGTTGTTTTTGTTTGTTTGTTTGTTGTTTTATCGTGCAGGGTGTGATAGCGTCAGTGATAGCGTCAGTGATAGCGTCAGTGATAGCGTCAGTGATAGCGTCAGTGATAGCGTCAGTGATAGCGTACATCTGTCAGTGCTGTTGTCTTAATGTGAGGGTCACACCGGGAGGGGTTTTTTGTGTGCTAGATTTGATAGTGGGTGGTTGGCGGGTGTGCTCTAGTGTGGTTTTCTCCTTCTTTCTTATCAGACATAATATAATATCCTGTTTTTCGCCGCTATTTCTGTTTTGTGTTTGTTACTCGCTTGTAACACCTGTAATCTTCGGCACTTATAATATGACCTCATTGTGTTGCAAGTGCCGTAAAACTCTTACTTAAAATAAATTAGGAAATGGGTGTGATAGCGTACGTCTGTCAGTGCTGTTGGCCTGATGGGAGGGTCACACCGGTATAATTCTTTTTAAAATGTACATGTATTTTTCATCGTGCTTGGTGTGCTTAAAACCCACCAATTCATTGAATGGCTGGTGGGTGGTTGGCGGGCGCTCTGGTACATGGTGTGGTTTGCTCTTTCTTCTTCCCTGTCACACGTCTGTCGTCATGATCTCTCTTCTCCTTCTTTTCTTTGCATGTTTCTCTCTCGTACTACTTTTAATCTTCAACTCGTATATGATCTTTGTGCCCCAAATGCCATAAAACTATTACGAAAACAATGCTGAAAAGTGTTTGATGAAAGAGGACGGAGGGG